TAAACGTGCACTACAGAGACATCTTTCTTCTGTTGTGTTTTTTCATTCCCATAAGTGAATTACAGTAAAATTTACTGTCTTACCTTAAGGGAGTCACATTTCTCATGGAAAAATTAGGGATTACTTCTTCCGTGACTTTTCTTACCATGGCCAGTAGCAAGAGTTAGATTATAGGGAGGTTTCATTCTACTTTAATAGACTTCAGATTTTGGCAGGAACTAACTTGAATTGTTCAAATTGGTCATGGGGATACTGAAGCACTGAAGTCAACAAAGGCTGCATCCATATGAGGCATTATCTTTTCACTTTGATGTTTGCAATACAGTTATAATGGGCACTGACAAAGTGCCCTAGATCTCCACAGGTTTTGCTCTAATTTGTGTGCTGCTTCCAAGAGAATATATTCCATTGTATTTACTCTCCTGTTTATCTCTAGAAAATTTGTGTGAGTTTTGGCTGAGTGTGTCTCAAAAGAGAACTGTTACAAAATGCACAGAGTTCAAGAGATTCTGGCAGAGGACTTGGGAAGGAGATGCTTTACCACTTGCTTGCACTTGATACAGCACTTCCTGTAAATTTATCTGAAAACTGTTTTTTTTTTAAGAAATGGTGATATTTCATATTCTTTGTTAAAAATCAGCCAAGATGCATGTGCCAATGGTTGATAAGAACTGGTCACATCAGTTGAGGTCCTTTCATCAGTTTCATTTGGGTTTGGATCAGGCTCTGTAGTTGTACATTTAGTGATGGTATAATTTAAGAGTAAATTGCTAAACATGTTGCAGAATGTCCTGGAAAATTCTTGAAAGTTGTTTGTATGTCAGAGATGGTTGAGTCTCCTTCTGCTGCATTGCAAGCTCATCTGAGGACACCAAGTGAAGGCTGTCATTTAAATCACTTCCCTGTTTAAATTCCTAACTTCCCCCCCAGTATTTTTTTAATTGGTAGAAAGCTTTTTCCGCAGCTTGTGGCTGGGAGAAGAGAAAGTCTTTTTCTGGGATGTGGGCATGTATTTGCCATCCAGCAGCTCAAGGCCTGTAGGAGATAAGCCAGTCAGGAACCTTCCTTCTTGCCACTTTTCTCCTCTTTCTGCTAAGCCACTGTATCACCATCAGTCCCAAGTCGTCTAACTGGTAACATCTCTAGTGCTATTATCAAGACACATTTTATTCCTTGCTCCCTTCCTGGCCAGCAGGATGAGTGCTGAGGGAATAGCAAGGGTTACCTCACACCTCAGGCATGAGCATGACATGATGAAATCTGGCTTGAGCCTCCTGCTGCTGCAGCTCCTGCCAGTTCTCTGAAACACCTGTGCTGTGGATGGGTTCTTTGCCTTTGCTGATATTTTTGCAGTGGTCAGCCTGAGAAATAGCTGCTTAATGCACACAAACATCTTTTAAACTATTTCAATTAATGTAATGTTTTAAGAAACCTAACCCAGTTCCATTGTTGATGTCCATAGCTGCCATTGTCTTGGATACACAACTTTGCGCATAACTTCATAGGCAATTAATTGATTCCTTTTCCTAACAAAAAGTGATTTTTTAAAATAGTAGTAGCATGAAGTAGCACTTCTCCAGTGTATGCCTATCCAAGTTACTTGTTATTCTTTAGGACATAATGTTAGCTTCTTGGTGAATCATCTCTTTTTTTTTTTTTTCTTTTGTCAGTGCTTTCAGATCCTTATATTCATTTCCAAGGACTGTCATTAAGATTGTCTTAATTGAAAGAACATTTGCTGTAACTTGAGCAGCTGTTCCTCTGCAGTATGAAATTGTGGTAATTGTTTGTGTTTGTTCAGCACAAGGTCTCTGTGATGGAAAGCAAATGGTCCCTGTTAATAGGTGGTATCTTCCTACTGTCCTGTCATCCACGAGCTGGAATATGAGATACACTCTTTAATGTGTGAAATAAAAAACAAAACCCACTTCTGAACTCTGATTTTACTTGTTTCTGGGACTTACTTTTCTAGAAGTGTGTATCTTATCTTTGAGTTCCTGTCAACAGCCAGTTGGATTTGTGACTCAGTTGCTAAATTACTGGAATAAGCTTATTTGTATAGCACTCAGGATAACCCTGGTTGATTTACAGATGCTTGAGATAAAAAGCAGTTTCCCTTCACTACAATACGTACCATTTAAAGAAGGCTTTCAGATGTGCACATCTTCCTCGTTTTCAGAGCTTCTTTTTGTGGTTTCCCAGTTAGAAGCTCTCATTTCCATTAGATGTTAGAACTTAAATTGGCATCTACTGGATGCTGTATTCTGTCTGTCCTTTTGCTGTGACATTTTTGCTTATTAATTCCAAAGGTGTGTGTACCTGTACCTCTGCACAGACCTTGCTTTATCAGTACCAGCTGTGGTCTCAGCTGAGGTGCTGCTGTTGGTATTCAGCTGGCAGCTCTTGGTGTGCACACACAAGGCAAGGCAATCCTTTGGGGCAGCCAAGGGGTGAGGCCAAGGCTGCTTTGCTGCTCTCAGTGTGGAAGGGTGAGATGTGTGCCAGTGGGTGTGTTCCTGTGAGTGCCCTGTGAGTGCACTGCAAGGTGAGCAATGATGTAATTCAACTGGCATATTTTAAACTAGCAAATCTAGTTTGAAGACTGCTTCCTATTCCTATTTTATGGAAACCTTGGCACCTACTGTATTAAACAAAATCTGAAGTCTTTAAATGGCTGCTAATTTTTGCTTTCATCTCAGTGACTCTATGTTTCTGGAAATTATATGTCTAGACATTGTCTCTGTTCAGAGGTATGAGTTCCCTTTTCCTGGCTGTTGCTCCTTCTGGAAGATGTTTCAACCTTCTTGAAGAGGTGTTTCTTCTGACAGTCTGTTCACTGTTCCACTTTCAGTGGTGCTGTTGTGGCTTTCAGCAGCTTCTCAACTATTTCCACTGTTTGAGTTTCTGATACAGAATTACAGCTGGGTGCCACCTTCCCTCCTTTGAGAGAGGTTCTGAAAACGTTCTTCTCTAGAAGTTACAAGTCTATCTATAGATATCTTCAACTGAGTGTAGTAATAAGGGGCAAATATTCATTTGTCTTAAGAGATTCTTCTATTTCATTTATGTGTTGGTCTCTCAAGCCAATACAAAAATTTCAAACTGCAGAGTGTGATTGGATATTCTGGCTACACTCGACAGCAGTTAGAGAGATTTAGAGCAATATGCAGCAGTGTTTGAGGTGAATGGGAGTTCAAAGAGTGGCTCATGAAACTTTAAATACTGGTGAGGACTTGCAGCAAAAATCTATGGATCTTATAACTAGGGAATCAGGTCTTCAGTGTTAGCTAGAGGAGGGCATTAGGAAGAACATCCTAATGCTGTATGGGGTTTTTTCTTTCCTGTCTGTCTCCTGGACATATCTTACATCAATTTCTTTGATTTATTCTGCAGTTTGTGACAGGAGAATTCAAGAGTAGGAAAAGCTACCATGGTTTTTTTGAGGGAGTTGGGTTTTTTTGGTTTTGCATGTGTTTGTTTGTTTTTCTTACAGCTCAGAGTACTGTGGTATATTCAAAGAAGTGGGGCCACCTTTCCCTCTTTTTTCCTGTCTCGACAAGTCCTCTGTTGAAAAAGAAATGTCCTTGTCCCTTGGAAGCAAACCACATGAAATAGAGGATGTAATAAATAGCCCTTTCTGCTTCTTAATCTCTTTATTTCTTTTCCATGATGTTTTATATTTTATAAAGCTGGTTTTTAATTTTTTTAAAGCTGAACATTTCCTGCTTCCTAACAGTTTCTCAGTTGAAAGCTTGAGCAGTGCTTAACAAAAGATGAAGTAGAGCTGTTTCTGTTCTCCCTTTCCTAAGACAAACGAGTGTAAATTAAACTGAAATATCTACACACATATATATATTTATATGAAAAAAAAATTCTAAGGATTTTGTACCACAGAATCTTTTCACTGCAGCGAAGACACTATAAATAATTCACCTCTGACATCATAACACTTTTGTATTTGAAATACTTTTCTTTAGGTTTTCTTAGTATTTTGGTAGGAGCCTCACAAATTATTCCAGAGTTTTCTGGTTATTTAAAGCCTTCTGATAATTTCCTTTTTCTTTTTACTTGGTCAGTAACCTCAGGTTATTGAGGTTGCAAGTCAGGAAATCTCCTGTGTCCAAGACAGCACTAAGAAAAAACTTACTTATATTTCTAAATAGATACTAAATTTTTGTGAAGTTTTGTGGTTTGTTTTTTGGTTTTTTTAGTCCAGAAATAGCTATAATAAGTTTATTTAAGTATAATATAAGTATATTAAGCTTTTGTATTAAGTACTGTGAAGTATTTGGCTGAAATTGTAGAACAAAATAGCTGAGGTTGCTGAAGAAATCTCACATTTTTCTGTTCGTTTTTCCAAGAAAAACAATTTGCTGTACAGCAGCAAATAATCTGCATTATCAAATCTGTCCCGTTCCTGTCAGGAGCTGGGTGCCCTTCATTTCCTTTTGAAGCCAGAAGGAATTCAACATGTTGCAGCTCAGGCTGTGCTGAATACTAATGTCTTGATAGCTGGTAGATCATTAGTATTTATTTGTAAAATGGAAGCAAAATTAGTTTTGACCTTTAGAGCTAAGTCAAAAGGTTAATCCATGTCCATTTCCAATTTGGTGCATTAATTGCTCCCTGTCCTAATTGTGTGTAGGACAATATTTTCTGTTTGTTTCAGAGGTAAATTAAACTGTAGGTGATGCTTTGCATTCATAATTTTGTTGTTTGTTTTACTTACAAGTGAAGTCCAAATCACTGAATGTATCTTCATGGATTCTGTTTGAATAAATAGATAAATAAATCAATCATTATTTCTGATTTTTTTTTCCACAAATCAATGCATGCATTCTTCCTAAGGCTTATGGGATGTGATGTTCTTTTTGATACACAGAGGGTAAAAATAAGATTATACAGTTTTTGGTTATTCAAATATTAGTATTCTTGGCAGCTCTGAATAGGAGAGGAACACACCAGCATGAAATTAATAACTGGTTTTGTTTCTGTCATAGCTACACTGTACACATCCTGCATTTTGCTGGGCATATTCCTCAACAGCAGCGTACCAATATTCTTTGAGCTCTTTGTGGAGACAGTCTACCCTGTTCCAGAAGGAATAAGCTGTGGAGTTGTCACCTTTTTGAGTAATGTGTTCATGGGAGTGCTTTTGTTTTTCCTCACATTCTACCATACAGGTAAGAAATATAAGACACTTTAAAAATTTAATACTCCTTAAGGACATACCTTTGTCAGCAAAAGGAAGGATTTGCACGTACAATTTCTGTTGATAACCAAATGTTTGAATCCAAGCAAGGGCAGCAAGGAAGGAGAATTTTAATCTTAATTCTTTTCTATATGCATGCTTATAAAAATGAAATTTCTTAGATGCAGGATAATTCTGCCTGAATCTGCTGTAGCCAGATACCAGCAGGGTACACGCTGTCATCAAATTGTATAAAGGCCTGGGTAATGTGGCCATTAATAATGTTTGTACCTGTGGGTGGTGAGAACCACAGTAAAGCTCACCCAGCCTCATGCTCTTGGGTAGAGCTGTGTTACCCAGGAGGGGCAGAGCAGAAATGCCCCATTTAAAGCCAGCTTGGTTCAGAGGGTGAGGTCCCACTGCCCTAAGACAGAGCAGGCATTCCTTTGGGAAATCCCATGGCCTATTCCGGCATAACAGGATTTCACTTCAGGTTTTTGTCAATTCATTCAGATTTTCTCGTCTCTCAAGTATTATTTGTTTCCTCCTAACTCATAATCATAACTTAAAACTTGCTGTTTAGTAGACTGTAATACATATTATTACTCTAAGCTGTAAAATAAGAACCCAGCTTGCTTTCAAAGGGAAGTGGTCTTTATTAATGGTTTTCAAAGACACAGATTTTTTCTTTGTATTTTGTTATTATGGTAAACATTTGCTTCACGGTGTAATATTTGTAAACCATTATAAAATGTGAGCTTTTATGTATTATTATTTCTTAAGATGTTGTATTTTATAACCAAGAGGAGAGTGACAAATTTCAGATTGAATTCTGCTATAAAGCATCAAGGTTTCAACCTGGGGCAAATTTTCAGCATGGTTTGTCTTTCTGCCAGGAAATTGCAAGCAGGATGACAAGCTTGTTCCAAATTGTGGTCTGTGAACACAAACAGAGAGAAATTATTTAATTTTTTAATACTGATGCTGAACTGTATCATTGTAAAATCTGAATGCCGTCTGAACTAGCCTTAAGTGGTGTGAGAGCTGGTCTTTACATTTTAAAGTATACTTTTGATATTAATTGGTGTGAACTCTATTCACACATACTATTGTTTCTGACATCTGTACCTCAGCTGGAAAGATGGCACAGAATGTTCAGAGAATTTTTTCACTGTTTGGCATTACATAATAAATGAGGATGGGGATATGGAGTCTCACTTCTGATGAAAAAATTACAATACAGTGGACTCATTCCCCCAGAAATAGAGTATTTGGGACCATTTTTTGTCTCTCATATTTCCTTCCCTACAAGATACCAGTAAATGCAGGTTCGGATAAACCTGAAATTGGTATACCAATACACTTAAAATATTTTCCCTATTTCTTCAAAAGGAAATAAAATAAAGTAATTTGTGCTTAGGAAAATCCATTCTTTGATAGAAAATATGAGAGAGTGTGTGGTCACTGGGGGGGATGAGTGCCAGGGGTGCTATTGGCTCCTCTGATTAAAAAAATCTGTTAGAGGGTAGATAATGATCTTAATCATTTGCTTTCATTTGATTCAAATACATCCTGTAATGGCATTTAAGAAGCTTACAGATAAACCAGAACTCAGTCAAATTCATCTTGTTCCCTTGGTCTTTCCTTTAAGCCAAATAATCTTTAAGTAGTTTTCATTCCAATTTCTCTTTTTCTCCTTGTACTGATATTGCAAATGCTGTGAAGGACCCAAGCCCTGGAAGCTTTCCAGAGCACTGAAGATTTTGGTTCAGCTAGCAGAGTGGGGATGCAAACCTTCCTGAAGCTCAGCCTTGCTGCTAGTGCTGTGCCCCAGAGCTGCAGCCTCTGGATGAGGTTTCCTTTGCCTTTCTGCAGGGATTTCCAAGGGAAAAACAAAAGGAAAATGACCGTTGGCTTCACAGGATTGATGCATTCCCTGCATTGCCAGGGCTGGCACAAATTCTAGATCAAAAAAGGCATGAAGTATTCCCAAGTTAAATTTCATCTTTTAGGATATTTGAGGTAAAACCTGTTTAATTCAATTAAGGAGGAATGTTGTAAGGAAAATAATAGCAAAGCATTTGCCTGTTGACTTCTGGCATCACATAAGTCTTCTCCAAGCCTAGGAAATTTTTACTATGGTTTTAATAATAATACTGCCTAAACAAATCCATAAGGGTTTTTGGTGGATCAGGGAGAATGTTGTTTAAAGTTACTGGTTTTGGAAGGCTGATTTTTCAGGCTTTCTGACTGTTGTCCTTTGCCTTGTTTAAAATAAATCATGCTTTTTCTTTCAGCAGTATAAATTGCAGATTTAAGAAAGCAGCAGTGATGAAGCCTTGATTTGGATTAACTCAGATTTGATTAACTTTCCCGGAGGGAGAGTTTAGATTCTGTAAAATTAAATAATAATAAAAGAAAAAGTAAAAGTAGTAGTAATAATAATGGAAAATTTGAAAAAAAACCGAGTAAAACACTATCCGGTGAAATGAATGTTTCTTTAGTAAATTGACACATGTAGAAAAAAAGAATTTGTGGTACTTGTTTGAAAAAAATGTGACTCAAACTGCTAATTATTAGTCAAATATCAGATGATAGGATTTCTTGAGTACAGAGCACAGACTTTTAAGGACAGTACGTTACATCAAACAGCTGAAAGGGCCTATTTTTTGCCATGACTTTTAAATTGAATTGATCCCATTATGCACAAGTTTCTTCTGAGGAATTGGTTTTCCCTTCTTATACAATGGAGCAGGTTTGATTCAAAATCAAACCCAGTTTCTTCTATGCTTTTAATTTTAGTTCTCAATCCATAGAAATCAAGGGACTAATGAGCAGAGTCTTTGGAAGTGGTTTATTCTCCATTAGCAATGATAGATTTTTATTTTTTTCCCCGTTCTCTTCATTGGGAGGTTGAATAAGGAGGATTTCCATTAGCTGGAGGAATTGGCTATAAATATCTATAACTTGAGGTGTCCATGGAGAAGGCTCACGGACCAAGTTAACCGTGGATCCATCGATTGGGAGCCGTCAGGATTTTGTCAGCACACAGCAATTTCCTTCAAACCTGCCATCAGTCCAAGTTTTGATCGCTTTAAACACAGAACATGTTTGATAACTGAGGCTGGGTCTCTGTTCTGCTTTGCAGAGTTCTCCTGGTTCAACTGGTGCCTGCCAGGGTCGTGTCTGCTCAGCCTGCTCCTCATCCTGTGCTTCCGCGAGTCCTACGACAGACTCTATCTCGACGTCGTCGTCTCCGTGTGATCACCCCGCACTGGTGAGGGCTTGGAAGAGACTGGAAGTCGGCTTTGCAGTCTGCACATCTGCCTGGATTTGCACAGCTGAACAGCAGAAAAACAAAGAAATTTCAAGACTTAATCGTGGCTTTATTTAGAGAGGGTGAGGGATGGGTCATTCTTATGTTCAAGACCATCTTGATTTGCCATAAATGTGGAACTGGAGTGGTGATGGAGACACCAAAATGCACAAAGAGAATCTCTCTGCTGTCCAGGTCCCTGTGCAGGGCTGGGGCTCTCTGTTGAAGAGGCTGTTGATGTAGCAGTGAGGTGTATGTTGTGTGTGTGTGCCTGTGTGCTGACTCACGGTTATACACACCAGGGTACCAGTAATCTTCAGAGTCTTCTATCAGAATGAAAATAGGGAATAATCTTAACAAAAGGAAAAAAAATAAGAAAGAAAACAAAAATCATTTCAAGATCTCTTTAAAATCACTAGTCATTTATATTTTGAATGTTCATTAAACATTTAAGCTAAAATGATTTGGTGCTTGTACACTACATTTACATTCTAATAAAGTGGGTTCTGATATAAGACACTGGTACCAGGGTTTTTAGCCATACTAAATACCCCACATAATCCTTGCAGTTTTATTAGAGGTGTATGTTACCACCCTGGAGCACAAGTAAACAATAGCTTTAGCTGCCACTGAATCCTAACCTGCACCCACAGTCATCTCTGAAATACCACCCTGGTTCCTGATATGGAGCATCTGTGGTGTACTGGAGTGTCACTCTAGGTAAATGTCGCTGTTCTAAAGGCCACCACTGTGTCACCTTTCCATCCTCCATCTCCAGTACTGCCTTTTTTACTGTTTGTGCCACTGAATACTGTGGGTGTGGATGTCTGAATCCTGCTAGCTCTCTCCTGATACTCTAAGGTGTGTGTGGTTTTTAGGATTAGTTTATGACTGAGGGTGCCTAAACAATATTGCTTGTAACCCAAGTCTGGAGAAATCACTGTTTCCTAAAAAAACCTTTCTAGTTGAGGAGGTGCATTGATGGCGAAATGACAATGAGTTTGACAATGAGTAACTCACGAGTTCTGGCATAATATGGGAAATTATTGCCAGCTCTTTTTATCAGTACTAATCTGTGGTCGTTCCGGCCCTTACTTGAACATAAATATTAAAGACACTTTGAATAGTTTTTTAACTCAATTTTTAAACCTGCTAATGATTTCTTAATTATATTCTTAGATTTCAGTTCAGCATCATTTAAAATATTTCTGTATGTGTGTGTGTGTGTGTTCTGTGCTTTGTGTTATGGGGATGTGTTTGTGTGTATGGGGGCGTGCATATTTATATCAATGTATACACAAATAAAACTTATATATATAAGAGATACATATATATATATATATAAGTTGTGCAAGGGTATGTGTTTGCCTAGGTTTACTCCAGGTGATCCTGCCTGGGGAAGGTGATGTGCCCTTGTTTGTACCCAAGCCAGTCACTGCCATGAGTGGGAAACATCGTGCACGGCCTGCGACAGGGATTCTTTTCAGGGAATGATTTCCTGTCCTGGCAGTTCTGTGGCAGGGGGTGGGTGCACGTGTTGGAGGAGGCTCTGCATCTCTAGAAGTTGAATCAAGCACCCTCTGCTCCTGTGTGGGGCTCTTCTTTGCCCCTGGGGCAACACCAACACGGTAAGCTCACCCAAATAAACCCAGAACTACCTTTCAGACATGGATCTGTTCCTTCTGCCTGCTCTCCTTTTGTAGAGAGAATACACCTCTAAGACTTAACTCAGAAGTGTATCTGTGCAGTAAAATAAAACAAGCTGTTCCCTGCTTTTATGTTTTCAGAGCAATTGATGTCCTTACTGTAGTACTGAAAATGGATTTAGCTCATTGTTTGTATCAGTTCTGAATAGTCTTTCCTGTCTTGAAGCAGGTTCTTTGTGGTAGTGGAGCTAACCTGCATAGGGAAAATGAAATCAGTCCAACCAGCACATTCAGATCCACTGGCATCATCCCTTACTTTTCAGATGAGTGGTGTTAACTGTCCAGCTTCTTTTTACTATGTTTTAGTGCCTGGATTAGTTTCAGTATCCAGTAGCTGCTGCTACCTATTGTCTCTGAAACCAGGGATCGTTTGCCAGGAGTCTGGAGTTGCATTGTCATGGCAGAACTGCAAGCTGGGATGGCTCTCCAGAGCTCTGTTTGTGCAATTTACTGTAGCTATATAAAGATCAAAATTGCTGTCCTGAGTTACAGAGATTTCTAACCCTTTCACTGTCCTGACTGTTTTAAGGTGGAGAAGCATTTTACACAATGCTTAGACTATAACCTATTCTTCCTCTGTTCCAGAAGGCAACAGACAATTTAAAATATTTGTCAGTGCTTCCAGATGCAGGCTCTCTGTAGTCAGGGGAGATGAGTGAACCTCTTGTTTTAAACCCTGTTGATTGTTTTTCTGAGTCAGAGTGAATGGCTCACTGTGGCTCTGATGCTTTGGTAGCTGTTTCTCTGTGTGGTGAGTTGACTGTGGGTGGACACCACGTGCCCAGCAAAGCCACTCTGTCATTGCCCTCCCCAGCTGGGCAGGGGAGAGAAAATGCAATGGAAAGCTCATGAGTTGAGGTAAGAACACTCACCAGTGACCATCATGGGCAAGGCAGACTCAACCTGGGGAAACCAGTTTAGTTTACTAGCAATCATATCACAGTAGGATAAAGAGAAATAAAACCTGATCTTGAAAACACCTTCCCCCATCCCTCCCTTCTTTCCAGGCTTAACTTTACTTGTGGTTTTCTCTCCCCCTTCCCCTCAGCAGCACAGGGGGACAGGGAATGGGGGCTGTGGTCAGACCATCACACATCTCATCCCCTGAGGACTCCTCACATCCTTCCCCTGCTCCAGCATGGGGGCAGACAATTCTCTACGAATTTCTCCATTGTGGGCAGGGACCTTTGGGAACAATCCTGCCAGCAAACCTGCTCCAGTCTGGGCTCCTCTGTCCATCGTGCCAGGAGTCTGCTCCAGCAGGTTTCCCACAGCCTCCTTTGGGCATCCAGCTGTGGGGCACGGGGTTCTCCACAGGCTGCAGGGGAATCTCTGCTCCCGTGCCTGAGCAGCTCCTGCCCCTCTCTCTGCCCTGATCTGGGTACCTGCAGAGCTGCTCCTCTCTCCAGCTCTGCAGTCACTTCCTTTCCCTTCCCAATCTCTTATCCCAGAGGTGTTATCACCATGGCTGGTGGGTTCAGCCTTGGCCAGAGCTGCATTTGTACCCTGGCTGGGCTGGCTCTGTCCCTCGTGGGGAGCTCCCACTGCTCCTCAGAGATGCCAGCCCTGCGGCCCCTCGCTGCCAGAGCCCTGCCATGCTGAGCCCCTGCCCTGGCACTGCAGCTTGGGCTGAGTCACTGCCCCCAGGGCCTCTGCAGGGCTGGGAAACCTGCTGGGGCTTCACAGGCACTCTGCAGTCAGGGCTCAGCCCGAGTTCCCAGCAGCTCTGATGGAAATCTGCCCATGTGAAAGTCAAAGGATTGCTCCCAAGTTACTTGAAGTTGTGCAGGACATGGCTGCATTCCACACACTCAGGGTTCAAGCTTAGGATTTTATTAGATTAGCAAGTCTGCTTTAGGATGGAAGTGAGGATTTTAAATGTGCTCGTTGAGATCTCTGAAAAACGCTTTATCCCCATCTGTACTCCACAGCAGCATCCTTCTGTTGAGGGGCAGTCCCTTTCATGTCAGTAACACAACTCAACCCACAGAAGTATTTTTTGGATAAGCATTGCTGCCTGGTCACCCTTGTTTGGATTTAGCAGGAGTGCAAGCTGCCAGGCTACCTGCACTTCTTTGGAAGTTTGAGTTTGAAGCACAGGGAGAGCCCTTAGCAGTGCAGATGCAATGAGCAGGAGTGCAGAATAGGCTTGAAACAGTTAATGCTTTTCTTAATAATGAAAGTTTGAAGTCTCTCTAGCTTGGACCAGTCACAGCATTGGCTGCTGTGTGGCCTGTGACTTGCCAGCAGAGGAAGGTGCCCTGAGGAGCCCTGGAATATTCCTCTCTTTGTGGCCTGTGAGTTCACAGCCCTGAAGAACACAGGTAATGTGTTGTGGTTTGTGTTGGGAATGCTGGGACGTTGCTCCATGGTGACCACTCTCTCCTAATGGTTATTGTAAACATTTGTTTGGCTCAGGGACACTCCTGGTTCAGCTTCCAGTGCTGCTGGCTCTCCTTCTCCTGAGCTCTGGAGCTGTGCAAGCTCCCATGCTGCTCATGGGGAGCTCAGGATTAGAAAATGCAGCAGCACTGGTTCCTGGCTCTGGTCACTGCTGTTACCCATTAACTCCCTCTGCCCTCCCTTGGGCTGCCTGCTCCCCTGAGCTGGAGGTGTGGGGAGGAGCTTCCTTGCTTCCAGAGCAATTTTAGAGGGAAAGGAGCTTGGCTGACCATGTACTTAATGTACAAAAAAATAGGCAATTTTTTTTTTTTTTTAGAAAATCGTGCCAGTTGGAATAAAGTGCAGACCCAAAGGATTCTGCACACATCATGAACAGAGAATCTGTTAGAAGCAGCCTGTAATTTACCTGAAACCTGTGATTTTAGCTCCCACACCTGGAGAGGCCAAGCAAATGGGCACTGTCTGTGTCAGGTATTCAGGCTCACAGCATCTCAGTTATTCCCAACCATCTGACAGAGCTGAGAGGAGTGGGAGTGGGAAGTCTTGAATGTTGGAGTGGGTTGGGAGACCCCAGACTCTGTCAGTGTTTGTTGTGGTAACTTGGGGAAAGCAACAGGTTGGACTGAGTAACAAGAAGTGCCCAATTCCAGGGGGCATTTCAGCACCAAAATATTGCACTGGACTGATGAAGTCCATATGCAGTTTGAAATTTTGTGTGTCAGGGATGTTAATGCTGGGTTTGTTCTACAGTAAGCTGAGCAAGTGACTGCATGGCCTTGCGCTGCAGCATAAACAAGCAGCCCTGATTGATGTGCTTGTATTGGCTCTTACAAGAAAGGGAAATGTGATTTAATTGTCAGGAGTGACTGAAATATGAATGGGAATTACACAGTTTGCACAGTGGATATAACTGCTCTGTAATGGTGTGACAGCAGGGCTCTAATTGTTCATTTCTTTTGTTGGGTCACTTGCAAATTAAGTAGGTATCTCTGACAAAGGCATTTTTATGTTTCATTAGTTTTGAGGAGGTTCCTTTTATACTAAGTACAGACCATTGTAATAACTTGCCAAGACAAGTGCTACAGTGTGTGGAAACGACACCAGTTCTGGGTATTGGTTTGGTGTTTGATGTTGGGGCTGCCATTCTCTGGGTTGTTCAAGCACCACGTGGGAAGAGCAGGGATGTGGGGTGTGCAAGGAGCTCTGTGTGTGTGGATGCCCAGTTGTGAAGGGCAGAGCCAACCCTGCCAAAACACACAAGGACTTTGTCACCTTCCATGGGTCCTGGCATTCCAGCTGTGGGGGGAGAAGGGAGAAATGCCGCCTTGTGGCTGCTGTTCCTTTCCATCAGAGACAGCCAGGCAGCTCTAGGCTCCCTGCTTCACCTGAGGGGATCATCCCCCTCCGCACAGACTCCATCCCACGTCCCTGCAGCCGTGGCTGCTGCCAGGTGGTTGTGGGTGGCACAGGAATATCTGCCTTGCTTCCTCCAGGAATGTCACTGCAGCTGGCACAGAGCTGCCCCAGAGCAGGCACAGCCTCAGTGGAGTCAGAAGAAGATGTCAATCTGCTCACAATTTTTGCAGTTTGTGTTTCAAGACAGATGAAACTAATAAATAAAGGAAGAAATGTAACTCTGTCCAAAGTTTTGACAAGCAAAAGCAAATATTTGCACAGATGTGCTGGCTGCTGCCAATTGTTTGGGATTGCAATGTTTTTGGATCAATTCATGCCCCCCACAGCCCCAGCACTGTTTCTTCACTGCTCAGGCCCAGCAGCACCGTGGGAAGCTCCAGGCCCTGGTGGAGGCAGGACTGCAGCACAGAGGGAAGGGAAGGGAAGGGCTGAGCCAGGATGCCCAGGACAGGGGATGTTGGGCACCTGGGCTGTTTGCACAGGAGGGGTGGCTCCTTCAGCCCACTTGTTCCAGACCCTCATTTTTTCCTTCCTCAAGGATGAGTTTTTGACCTTCATTTTCTGTTTGTGGTGGGTTTTGTGCCACAGGGACAGCTGTGGATGTGGCACACGTGTGGAGGTGCTGCTTCTCCAAGGTGCAGCAGGCAAGGCAGGTGGGACTTGCTCTCTGCACCAACAGCTTTTCTCTGCACGCTCTCTCTGCCCAGTGGATTCCTCCATGGGATTTATCCTCTTGTTGCATCTGGACAGACTCACTGCACTCACTGCATTGCTACATGAAGACAATACCAGCAGCAAAACCTGTTTTCTTTACAGGAAGATTTTCCCTTCAGGCTGAGGCCACTTCTCCAGCCTTGGTCCACGTGTTTGTCAAAGCCACCACAAGCCCAAGGTCACGTTTTTCTTCTCAGAGGGGATGTGCAGGTTTGTGTGGGACAAGCCAGAGGGCCTGGGGAGGGGCTGCCAGGGTTGGGGTGCCCACCATGCCAGGGGAGGGGATGCTCCATGTCCCTCCCCAGCAGGGACCCCCTGAATGTGCAGTGTAAACTGGAGCTGTGTTCCTGCCCCTCCCTGCCCACAGCTCTTCTGCTCTGACCTTTCTGCTCCACCTGGGCTGAGCCAGCCCAGCAGAGCTGCAGGTGTCCCCACTGCCACCAGCTCCTGCTCCTGTGGGACAATGATGCATTTTCCAAACATATCTCTTTTCTCTGCCTGTGATATTTGCTAGATTAACATCTCTTTTCCCCCTACCATGTTTAATGTCTTCCACTGTGCATTTTAGAAATAAGTACTTGATAAGGTCACAAAAACAGCTTTTAATTATGGGACACACCTAACAGTTGGGGTTTTTTGAAGTGCATGAACATATGGAGAAGGAAGAGGGTTTTACATGTTGGAGAGCATCTTTGTAAACTATCCTCGACTTGTAAGACTGTTCAGTTTTACTGGAGTTTGTATGCATTTTACTTTTGTAATTTTTAAAGTGATTTGATAGAATTTTATTTTAGGGCAAATACTACATTTTGTATGCGATATTCCAATGTGATGTATTTTTATTTTTGAGAAAATAATGTTGAAACCACTATATACTTGTCAATGTAACATACCCACTGTGTAATTTCTATTTAAAACTGGACTCTGACCATGAAGAGTGTGTTATTTTACGTACTGGCTGTTGCACATTAAAGAGGTTACTCAGTTTGCTGCCATCACTGTTCATCACTTCCAAGAAAGCACAAGGGAATAGTTTATTTCTGCCATAATGCTGCCAAAACCCACTGCAGATACTGCCATGAAATGGGGGTTGTTTAGTCTAAATCAATGCAGCCTCATCCAATCTCCCAGCCCAGCCAATGAAAGATTTCCATGGCTTTTCCTGAGGTTTTGGGGGATGGTCTGGCACTGCAGGTGCAGCCCTTGGTACCCTCCAGCAGGGAGGGGAAGGGAAGGGCTGGCAGGGGTGGCAGCCTCTGCAGCCCCACACATCATCACCGCTCTGGTTTCACACCCTGATTCCTCAGGGCTCAGGATGCTGCAGGCCAGTTGATTTTGCTGGCTCCCACCATCAGTGTCTCTGTGGGGCTTTTGGAAAGGAGAGCCTTCCTAAGAACCTTCCTTGTGTTTATCCTGTGTTTAATTGAAGCAGACCCAGCCCAGCATCTCTTGATCCATGTTTGTTTTCTAGAACCAGCTCTTCGAGAATGGCCTGACTACTTATCAGGGCAAATTTAAAATAGCCTCACATCCTATTAGTGCTGGGAAGAAATCTGTCAACTCTCATGTTGTGGAATATCTGGGCCCCACTATTCTTAGCAACAGTCTCTTTCCAGGCTATATATGGGAGCTTAAAGTGCCTCTAATGACACAGTTCCCAGTTGTATTTATCTTTGCAGTGTTACAGAGATCTCCATCCTTAGGGGGATGAGAACTGAGAATCCATCTCAGAGTCTGATGTAGTTCTGTGTGTTGGTGAAGTCCCTGTGCTCGTTCTTTCTCAGGTTTTTTTCCTATTTTCTGTTTTATCTTTGCTGTTGTTGAAGCCTGCTCTTTCTCTGGCACATAAATGACATTTATTCTGTCTTTCCTGAGGGAGTGCTGGGTGCTGGCAGCTCCCTCTGCGACTGTGCTGCAGTTGCACACGGGGGAGCAGCTGGGTTGGGGCCAGCTGGTTGAAAGCACTTGGTGCTGTGCCCAGATGTGCCCAGATGTGGGTGGGCTCTCAGATACCTCATCTCTTATGGTTGTGGGACCAGCAGAGGCTGTGGAAAAGGTTGGGGGCCCTTGTAAATGCTGGTTCTGTGTGTTTTGGCATCTTTGGGCTGCAGCCAAATGCCCAGGATGCTGATGCTGGGGAACAAGAGCAGCAGCAGCCCCCAGGCAGGTGTTCCTGCCTTCATCCTCCATCCATGGGTTAAGAGAGCTGAGCAGCTGCAGGGCTCTGCCTGCTCCAGGAGCATGATTTGGGTTGCATCAGGGACTTGGGACCTGAGGCATTCACCTTTACACATTTTGAGAGAGGTTTTCAGCATAGGCCAGGTTCAAGCATTGCAGCTTGTCCCCCCTTGCACACTCAGTGTGTCAGGGATGGTTTTATCCTGGCTGGGGGCTCTGGGGCTCTGGGCTGGTGGGCAGCAATGGTGCTCAGAGTACAAGTTTGTACCTGCTCACTCCAGACCCTCCTTGGCTCCAGCAGCTCCTGGCACGGCGGGGCCTGCCAGGGACTGAGCTGCTCCCCAGGACAGGCAGCTCTGCCAGGCAGGAGGTTCATCTCCTGCAGTGCCAAAGGAGTGATGGATCAGCAGAAGACAGCGGTAATTGCCAGGAGGCTTTCAGGCAGAAAGCAAGGCTCTCGCTCGAGGACAGGCTGATGTAAGTCAGCATGTAAATTGGGGACAACATAAAAATAATTCCAGCCAAGCTCCTAGGAAGAAACCTATGAACAAAAAAATGTTGTTGCTAAGAAATGTGAAAACAGAAAACAATAATGTGGCTCCTGGCAGGGTAATAAAAGTGTATCAGCCTTGTGCCTGCTCTCCCGTACAGATCGCCTGCTCGTGACAGTAAATTAGGTACTGCCAAAATGGGAACGGTTTTCTCTGTGGCCATTGATGCTTCACATCATGGAAATATCAAATGTTTCTGATGGCTGTTCATTACCCTGTGCTTGAGAGGGGAGCAATCCTTTGCTGGCTCCATTATTTCCATGACAGCAAGGAAATGACTATGGGGGGTTTAAAAACGGAGGAAAGCAGCAGGGTTAGATGGATGGAGCCTCCACAGGCTGTTGCTGTTCACTGTGCTCCATGCTAACCCTGACTCTGGGACACACCTCACCATCCCCAGAGTGATGGAAAGCCAGGCCTACTTTTTGCTTTTTTCACAAACTGTGAAGTTTGACCTTGAAAATCTTCAGAGATGTTATTTTGAAGGGCGACAAGGCTGCAGCACAGCTGCTCAGCCAGAAGACGCTGCCCACAGCTCCCCCACAGCCAGGAGGAGCTTTGAGTGGTTGCTGGGCTCCAGATCTGCCTCAGCTGCTACGAGGATCAAAGAGTTGCACCTTCCATACTCTGTAGAGATCCACACCATGGAGCTGACAGATGGACGTGGCTGGTGTGCAGCACAACAACATTTCCTTGTCATCTTAGTAGGTTTAAAAGGAAAACCAGCTGACCTTACACGTTTGAGTTGCTGTGAAGTGTCAATATCCTTTTTTTGTTCCAGTTGGAACAAAAAAAAGGGTGATAGAACTGCTGGGTCACAAAATAAACCTGGCCTGTGATCACACTGGGGCAGCAGGAAAAGGTGAGAGCCTGCCCAGCTGCCAAGAGCCAGATTTGCATTTCTGTCGCACCAAAATCACCTTCACCCAGTTCAGTCCTTACCCCAGAGGAGAATGGTTTGTTTTGGAAATATTGTCAGCAGCTTGAAGGGTTGAAATCTCTCCAAAGACAGGGATGTGTGCATGTGGTTGCGTTTTTCCTTTGGGAACAGCTGAACTCTGTCACCTTCTTGATTAATTTGAACCTCAGTTTTTTTAAACAGAAAGTGCAATGACAACTCTGTCAGTGTTTTCTTTATGAAGGGACAAAACAAACCATGTCAGAATGCATTTCAGCTGTTAGCAACACAGTTTGTAATGAGTCTCCAAAGCTTTTGGTAACTGAGTGTGTGGTCCCTCGAGGGGGAAGCACACATGGGGTACCATGGGGAGCAGAGCTTTTGCACTTGAGGGTTGCCTCTCACACACTGAGGGGCTTGCTCTGTGCTGATCTCTTCAGGATGGCTGCACTGAGCTGATTTTGGCCAACACAGGGAATGTTGCTGAGCTTGGGGACTGTTCCCCTGCCCGGTCACAGCAGCACAACCATGTGGGCTCTCATAGAGGAGTGAAATGGTTGTGTGGGCAGAGGGAAATTCAGGAGTCAGAGCCAGGCCGTGTGATCCCATTGTGGTGGGGGCACTGGTGGGGGTTCTGGGCACCAGCAGCAGTGCTGGGTGTGGAGTAGGGGATTCACTTGAGACCTTTTTCACTACTGCAGCCTGCCTGCTTTCACAGGAGTGCGTCTGCACAATGCTCTGCCTGGCCACTGCTCCTGGCAGCATATGAGGCTCAGGTATGAGAGAGTCAGCAGCCTTGCTAAAATCAGGCTGCAGGATATTTCTTATTTCCATGCTATCTGCACGATGTGGTGCCTGTTCAGAGGAGGAAATTAACTTGCTCTGGATAATGCCTGGGTGCCCAAACACCTCTGCTCAGCTGCTCTGTGGTGGTTACAGCTCGCTCATGTGAGTCTCTGCTCCAGCATTGCCATGAGCACAGGGGTTACCTGGGCTGGGCTGCAGTTCCTGCCCCTCTCACCCCCACAGCACCGAGTGCTGGCAGTGCCCTTGCCCAGGCAACTGCCCCACCAGCCGTGGATATTTCCATCCCTTATCAAAGAAAACACCAGCAGATGGGCTTCAAATGGAGGGCAGGGCTGGGACAGGTTTGTCACTGCAGCACCTGGCCCAGCCTGTCCCCAAAGCCCCTCTGGCAGGGAGCTGGGTGGAAACAGTGAGACCAGACTCGAGTAATGAGGAAATTTCTGCTTTTTCCTTTTCCTGCATTTTTTATGCCAAACCTCTGAGCACTCCCAAAGGCAGGTTGGAGGGGTCTGTGGGGCAGCAGCTGTTGCTGGGCCCCCCAAGCAGCCCCACAGCCTGGCCTGGGTCCCTGCTTTGCCTGTGCTGCTGGGGGTGCTCCCACACCTCATGGGGAACCGACAAGATAATGAAACTTTCTGTTTTTCACACAGTTAAGAATTAAAGAGAGAAAAGGGTACAGTTGGGATGCACAGTGAAGGTGAGAGAACAAAATTTACTGACGTTACCAGTGAAGCTGTTATGTTAATGAGTCAAATTAGCAACTAGAAAAAAAATGTGGTGATAGACAGATTTAAGGGAAATTGGAAATTGGTTCCAACGTAATACTTTGCTCTAATTGTATGCAGAGGTGTCTTGATGCAAAACAAAACTGTTCAAAAATGACCTCCCTGTGTTATCGTGCAAACTAACTGAGAAAAAAAATCCATCTTATTCACAGCAAGTTTGTTTTTACTGTTCTTGTGCCTCTCAATTACTTTTTAATGGTCTGCATTGAAAAGAAATTCCTGTATGCACACTTGAGAATATGAAAACACCCAAATGATAGCTTATGATTTAGTAGGATTAAAGTATTATGTATGCAGGTGTAGCACGTTTCAGGTTATTAGCAATCCAATCTATTTTTTATGACATTACGGTGTAATTTTCTGTATGGAACTTCAATATAAGTCTTAAGCTGTATCGGAACATAAACTAAAATGTTCCTGACTCTGTCACTTTTCATGGTCTTTACTTTGATTAATAAATGCAACAAGAGCTATAACGTTCTTCAACACGAGGCTACGATCATCCTTCAATCAAAATATGTCCCTCAGCTTTTCATAACTTTTTGCATCAATATGTAGGGCTTGAGCAGCAGCAGCAGCAGCAGCGACAGGATTTCATTGCAGCTGAGCACACACAGCTGAACGGCTCTGCAGAGGATGAATGTATTCTGCTGGCTTGGCACAGAGAGCAGTTGTGGAGCCCCTTGGGGGCTCGGTGTCACCTGCAGAGAGCTGAGGAGCACAAGGGAGATGCTCACTGCAGATCTGGACAAGGATTTGGCACCCAGAATTTCATA